TTCTCTGTGACTGTGGAGGCTGTCCTGGAATGAGCTCTTATAGACCAAGCTGGTCTCAAACTCACAGAGATCTGCCTGCCTCTGCCTCCCAAGTCCTGGGATTAAAGGTGTGCGTCACCAACACCCAGCTCTCTTTTCTTTTGATTTGTAAATATTAATTACATTTTGTAAATTGTTCTTTCTCTTAATGGCATCCTTTGGTGCACAGAAGTGTTTTTAATTTTTATCAGTCTTTCCTGTCTATCTGTCTGTCTCTCTGTTGTCTTTTTCAAATTTTTGAGATCCGGGTCTCACTTTGTAACCCAGGCTAGCCTAGAATTCTCTCTACAAGAGCATATTTGTAGGCCACAGCAGTAGTGCCTACAACACTTCAGGTGAATAGGACAGTTGGAGAGGTAGGTATAAAATCTAGAGAAAAGATAAAAACAAATAGAGTCATGTCCAAATAATCATAAACACATGGGAAGACCATAATACATTTGTGAAATTTCATTCTGAACCACATGGCTTCAAGCAGTCCTTCTACCTTGATGGTCAGGAAGAGGTATAAGTGAGGAAACTGTGGGGAAGCATTCAGGAGTCCTGGGTTCCCATGTAAGCTCTGCCTCTAGCCCTGTGAGATGGGCTCATGCGCTTCATTTGTCCTCATTCTCCATCTCTAATGTGGTTCCCTCGGACTTACTGTTCCTCCTGTGTTTATAAAAGTATATGAAAACAGGTGGTATGTTGAGCAATAGTGCTGATGGAACAGAGAACAACATTATTTAAGGAAGAGGAGAGTAACCTAACCCCTAAACACAATAGATCAGTACACTCTTTACAAAATGACAATGATATCACACGTGAATTATCTGGCCTTCTCTGTGTCCCCAGTGCTAATGTTATATTAATGTAAAACTAATACTTAGTGAATATTTTTTGGCAAAAAGAAAAGAAAAAAGAAGAGCAGGCAGGATGTTGACTAGCTCTACAATAGATGTGTATTTAATGGTCTTTTATATTTGCAACTGTCTGTTTTAGAACAGAAATGTTGGCTTAGATTCTTGGATTATGAACTGTAGTTGTGCTTAAATGGCTTCCAGCTGATCTGGCTTGTCCCTTTGTAGAATGAACTTATTATCATAACAAGTCAGTCCCGCCCAACCAGTTGACTACACTGACCAGATGGTGTTGCTTTGTAGATGAGCTATACCTTTTTTCCTATTTTCACTGCAGACAATTGATGCTTTACACCTAAAAGGATGATTATTTATCTAGTGTACACTGGGAGCTGAGGATGTAACTCAGTGGTAGACCCTGTGATTAATATGTACAAAGCCTTAGGTCTAATCCCCAGAATTAAAATAAATAAATGAAAATAGAATCCAAGCCTAGTGGCACATGCCTATAATCTTAGTACTCAAAAGGTGGAGGTAATAAAATCAGTTGTTCAAGGCCAGCCTGGGCTACATGAAGCAAAAAAAAAAAAAAAAAAAAAAAAAAAAAAAAAATCCAAGCAGGGTGGCATGTGTCCTTAATACTAGTGTTTGGGAATCAGAAACAGACATATCTCTATGAGTTTGAGGCTAGCTACCCTGATCTACATAATGATCCAGGCCAGCCAGAGCTATATAGTGAGAACATGTAAAAGGAGGGAGGGACGGAGGGAGGTGGCAGCACTGGAGATATAACTCTGGCTAAAGTATTGGCTCTGCACAAGGATTTCAAGTTAGGTAGATTTCTAGCACCCACATAAAAAGCCAGTCCTGATAGTGTGTATGTAAAACCCCAGGACTGCCAAAAGAAGCAGGCAGATCCCAGAGGCTTCTAGCCATCAAGCATAGCCAAATCAGTGAACCTAGATTTTGAGAGACTTTCTCTTAAAAACTAATCAAGGACATCAGGAGAACACGGCCCACAGAACCAATTAAGCAGGGCTCTTAGGGGCTCACAGAGTCTGAAGTAGCAATCACATAGCCTATATGGGTCTGCACTAGGTGTTCTGCAGATATGTTATTGTTTAACCTGATGTTTTTGTGGGACTCCTAACAATGGGAATGGGGCAGCACTCGGGAGGCAGAGGCAGGTGGATCTCTGAGTTTGAGGCCACCTTGGTCTATAAAGCTACACAGAGAAACAAAACAGTGGGAGAAAGTGTCTATGACTCTTTTGCCTGCTCTTGGAACCCTTTTCCTCCTACTGGATTGGTCCTTCCAGCTTTGATAGGAGGGTTTGTGCCTAGTCTTGTTGCATCTTGTTATGTCGTGTTTGGTTGATATCCCTGGGAGGCCTACTCTTTTCTGAAGGGAAACAAAGGAGCAGAAGATCTGAGGGAGATGGGAGGGGTGGAGGGAGGGGAAATTGCAGTCAGGATGTAGTAGTGTATGAGAGAAGAATAAACTAAAAAAAAAAAAAAAAGCTAACTAAGGTTTAACACAATAATGGAAGACCCTTCACATCAATCTTTGGCCTCTACATGTGCGCACACACACACACACACACACACACACACACACACACACACCATTGCATAGATTTATTTAGCCTACACTTATTAAACACATTTCAGAAACTGTCAGCAGTGTGTAAAATATAACAGCATATAATATAATGTAGATAAACTCTCTACTTTGTGGTGTTTACTTAATGTTATGGGAAGGATTCTATATTGAATAAATAACTATGTGATATATAGTTGCAATTGAATAAATGCATTAAAGGGAAAACACAGAATAGTCTGAAATTGGAGCTGATTTCAAAGAAGTGAAGTCAGGAAAAATAAGGCGAATTTAAAATTTTAAGCCTCCAAAATATTTCCATAGCATTTATTTCCATAGATACAGAAAGGGACAATATTATTCTTAGAACTTGTTGATTTTTATTCTAGAGATAGATAATTTAAAAAATATATTTACCCATGGGCACACAGGATCTGTAAAAGTTCAATGCTTTCTTTAATTGATGTCTGAAAAGGAAAACATTTTCCCATTTATATAGATTGCCATTGGCAGCACCAGGACTTGAGCACAAGTATGCTAGTCCGTCCATTGCCCCTCCTCAGTTATGCTGAAGAAACTGTTGAATACAGATTACCTGGTTTCAATGAAATATCTAAGTGGCCATTCTGCACAAGCTTGTGTTTGGGTTAAAGAAAGGTGTTTACAGAATAATAAATTCACTGAAGGAACATGTAAACAGAAACTTGTTGATTCTGTCAGATAATCATAAAATCTCATAAATAGAATGGAGTAAAAGATTATCAGTTGAAATTAGTGAAAATATAAAGAAAGTTATATCTGTGTAGTTAAAAATATACTGCTAAGTATACATTATGTTTAAGGGCCAATTTTATTTATAGTTTTTAATTTAATTATGATTATATCTATTTTGCTTTATAATTATTACCTAAAATTGGAATTAGAAGGCCTTAGGGAGAAGGCCAGTCTTGACTAGGTATTAGCGAGTGCATCTAAGAGAATGCTGAACATACACTCAGTCTTGAGTAAGCATATAGTGAATTAGAAAGGCAAAGAAAGTATTTAAGCCATTTGAAATTTCTATAACAAATCAGAAATGGGCAAATATTTCTATAACAAATCAGAAATGGGCAAAAATAAAAAATTGTTTATTTTCAGCCCAATGTAACAGTGACTGAAAGAGAAACTTATACTCCTATGGGTGCAGTTATTTATTAAATTTAAGTACTTAGCTAGGCATGGTAGTACACATCTTTAATCCCAGGCAATATCTGTGATTTCCAGGACAGCTACGACTACATAGTGAAACATTTCAAAAATAATTACAGTAATAATAAATTATGTATATTTTGAATATTCCAATGGATTTTTGCAAATAAGAAGTTCTGTTAGTGAATTAATTTTTAATTTCATTTAAAATGATAGTTCAATGAAGGTAGATGGTATACTCACTTTAGAAACTAAAGGTGTTGTAAAAGAGGACCTGGAAATGACTTTGTCAGACCAAGTGCCACACAAGCATGAGGACCTAAGTTCAGATCCCCAGCACTCATTAAAAGCCAGGCTCATCAGTAAATGTGTGTAACTCCAGTGCCGGGACAGTGGAGGTGGGTTCTAAGCTCATTGACCTGCTAGCCTCTTTTGTTTAGCCTTTCTGGTTCTGTTTTTTCGTGTTTCACTGTAATACGTGTGCTTATATTATTGGCTAGGTTCTACATATGAGAGAGAACATGCGGTTTATTTCTTTCTGATATTGTGTGACCTCACTTAATATTCATTAATTATATCACATGCAAAAAATTGTAAAGTATTTCTGACACAGATAACTTCTGTTAGCCACATGCTTTGTGTATGAATGTAGTAGGGAACTACTTAATAACCAAAAGAGGAAAGATTTTTTTTTGTCTTAATAACTGAAATTTTAGTAATGTTGTATGAAAAGGGAATAACAAGAGTATTTTGCTTTCAGCCTTTTTAAAAATTTCCTCCTAGTCCTTAGTCCCAGTACTAACCCTCTCCAAATCAGAAGAAATGGGTAAAAGAACCATAATCATGCAAATAAATTAAGCATTCCATGCTTTGCTACAGTTCATATGCTACAGTTCACAATGACCGTATCAGACAGATATTATTTCAGTTTACTATAGAGGAAATGGAAGATTTCTAGAGGTGTTAAGTGGCTTACAAATGGTCACAAAGTTTATGAACAGAGCTAGGATTCAGATATTCTCATTTTTGCTATTTATTAGGTTGCTCATCTTGCTTGTTTGCTTATTCTGTATACTTTAAAAGTTTCTTATTTAATGCCGGGTGTTGGTGGTGCACGCCTTTAATCCCAGCACTCCGGAGGCAGGGGCAGGCGGATCTCTGTGAGTTTGAGGCCAGCCTGGTCTCCAGAGCGAGTGCCAGGATAGGCTCCAAAGCTACACAGAGAAACCCTGTCTCGAAACCCTCCCCACCCCAAAAAAGTTTCTTCTTTAAATGTAATACATTCATTTAAAAATAATATAGACTGTCTTTCTTTTTTTCTCCCTAAAAAAAAAGATGAAACTTTACCTGAATCTTTCATTTAAGGATGAACGTGAAGCCAGAGAAAATGTGAAGAGAGAGCAAGATGAGGCCTATCGCCTTTCCCTTGAAGCCGACAGGGCAAAGGTAGGTTTGGTCAAGTGTCTTCTGCAATATAGAACTTAATCCTAAATGGTCTTTGGTTATCTGCTCGCTTCTCTCTCTCTCTCTCTCTCTCTCTCTCTCTCTCTCTCTCTCTCTCTCTCTCTCAATTACTTGGCATCCTATAAAAATATTAAATTTTCTTGATAAAAAGTTAGGTTTGGTTAACAGAAAATAGCACTACCCACTGTTCTCAAATTATCATTCATTTTTGACAAAATAAGTGTGTCAGAATAATAAAAATGATGACAAATGAGCTTAGTGTCTATTTTATAATTAGTGTATGGAAGAACCCAACAGGTTTTTGTTTTTTCGGTTAATTGGTTTTGGGGTGTTTTGTTTTTGTTTGGTTTGGTTTTTTTGTTTGTTTGGTTTGGTTTTCAAGACAGGGTTTCTCTGTCAAACATCCTGGAACTCACTCTGCAGACCAGGCTAGCCTGCAACTCACAGAGATCTGCCTGCCTGCCTCTGGAATGCTGGGATTTAAAGGCGAGCGAGCCACCGCCACCACCACCCAGTCCCAACAGGGTTTTTACATTAACTTTAACTCCTGTGTGTGTATGCCAGTATATAGGTCAGAGGACTCCTTGAAAGAGTCAGTTCTCTCCTTCCACCATGCAGGTCCCAAGAATCTAACTCAGGTTTTCAGATGTGACAGTAGACACCCTTCATGCTGAGTCACTCACCTGCCCAGATGTTCATTTAAGTTCTTAGAGTGATTACTGTGCTGTTAGGTTTAGAAACAATGACTTATACAATGCTTCTTAAGCACATGCTGCTGTATTGGGTATTGAAGGAGCAAAAAAATGAGTAAGCCATGTTTGTGTCCTCAAGCAAAGACTTGTGATTTAGTGGAATGGTTTAAGTTAAGACCACAGACTGCTTTCCTCTTAGGCAATTGCCCCACAAGATATCAGAGAAGCACTGAATTTGTGAATGTTCATGAATTAGAGTTGCAGTGAGGGAAAAAAAAATCTTTCCGGCTTTTTTGAAGCTCCAGCAGATGATAATGTGCTAGGAATGCTTTCATATGGGTCATCTGCTGAGTGAACTACACAGAGGAAGAGCTAGTAGAGAAAGCTACTGCCCAGAACAAATGGAGGCAGAAAGGCATACTGGTGTGACTAAAACTGAGATTTGTACCAGAGTGAGAGCAGAAAGGATCAAAATTTAGGGACAAGGGAAATGGCCTGGGGTGAGTTGTTTGATGGGTGGTGGTGGTGGTGGTGGTGGTGGTGGTGGTGGTGGTGGTGGTGGTTGCTTTGGTTTGGTTTTGGAGACAGACTCTCTGTCTGGGCTGACCTTTAACTTGCTATATAGCCAAGAATAACGCTAAACTTCTATTCCTCCTGCTGCCACCTCCAGACTGCTCACCATGTGCCACCATGGTGGCTCAGTCCATACTTTGTGGTGCTGGGGATCAAACCTGAGCTTCATCTGTACTAGGCAAGCATGCTGCCAACTTGGCTGTGTATATCCCTATCCCTAGTCTCTGAAGGCACTTAAAAACCTCATTACGCAGAGCTGACAATGTTCTTTGACCAAGAATCCAGCATATCAGAAAACTACTTTTTGTAGTTTTCCATTTCCAGAAAGAAACATTGCTATTACCACAGTGCCCATGTAGATTATGTTGAATAAGCCCTTAGATATAACTTATTCCACTTTTTCCCTCTTGTCCCAGAGTAGAAGTAACCCAGTTGCATCATGTAATACAATTAAAAAAAAAAATCCTCATAGCAGAATTGAACACTGTTAAACATTTATCAAAGTCCTATATGAACTTGATTCCATTGTTTTTTATATAAATGTTTATTAATGTTTGTCCTTGTCCGTTATATTAACAGAGAGAAGCTCATGAGAGAGAGATGGCAGAACAGTTTCGTTTGGAGCAGATTCGCAAAGAACAAGAAGAGGAGCGAGAGGTAGGGAATAATTTTAGGAAACAATTCTATTGTATTTGATAGTGAGGCTACTAGTATTTTTTAGGACACATTTGTGCTTTTCCTGGGCTGGTTTTTGTACAAAAGTCCTAGATTGCCTTTAAAGAATTATTCCTTGCCTAGTACATGGAACTCTTAGAAAAAAAACTTGATCAGGTACTAACTAGATTCATGGTTTTCTTTTACCTTCATTTCTGTCTGCATTTGTTGACTTAAATAGGTACTCCCCATCATTCTTAGATTTTCTTACCTGGAGAATATAACAACAGTTCCCTTCCCCAAACTTTACCCATCAAAAAATTATAGTGCTACTTCTGTAATGTCTTCCATTGAGCCCCTAGATTTGTTCGACTGAGATTTTTCTTTTGAGTTTATGTCTATATCAATATAGAGAAAATGTATTCTCACTCTGTTTTTTTATACTGTGTACCTCACAATCTTAGTAGCTAGTGGTACAGATGTGGGATCTTCCCTGCCCTGCTTCACAGTCTTTAAAATGCAGAATTATGGTGCTAAAATAGTAAACATTGTGGTAGATGCCTGGCTAACTATGGTAGGAATAAGGGAAACTGCATGGAGTGACGCTTTGCTGCAGGGAGCATTTAGGATGCTTTTCTAGGCGTGAGGTCAATAACATGATTTGCTTGTTAAAAAGAAACTATCTGACAAGTTATGAAAAGCCTAGAGGTCTAACTGAGAAATTTCATTACTTATCATTTTGGTAAAAGATACCATAATTTCATTTATTCACTTATTTCACCCCTATTTTATTCTGAGTATGTGTACATATTACTAATGCCCAGCAGACAACCTGTCTACTTTTATTTACTTTCCTTTTTCATTTCTTTTTGCTTTTGTCTTTTTTTTGAGCTTACACCCTGCCCCCAAATTTAAAAAATACAAGAGAAGCAAATGATAATAAATGTTTCCTTTCTACAACAGCAAATTAAATCTTACAAATATATAACATGTTTGCAAATAAGAGGAAGTCAACAGAGAAAAGAATTTACTAAGTGGCATAGGATAAATAAAAGCAAAGTATTTGGGGAGTTAGAGACAGAGAAAATCTTTCATAGCTTTGATTAAAAAATATATAAAGAAGTAATATTCGAGCCAGGTCTTGAATGATCTGTAAAACGCATTATTATCCATGTTCTGATACTTCCTGAATATCTGCTAGATATACAAGCCCTGATTCTCAAGACAGAAAATAGCTCGTTATGTCTGTACCTTAACAACTCTGCTAGCTGCTTTGAATATGCTTATTCAATAATCATGAGAACAAGGCACAAGGTTAGAGATTTCTCTTCGAAAGTTAAGAAAAATGAAGCTCAGTGAGCCGTGTGTAGAACTAGAAATGCTCAAGTTCTCACCTAGATCCTTATGCCTATAAAAACCCATGCCCTTCCAACTATTCTATTCTAGTCTAAGACCGTGTATGTGTCTATAGTAGTCATATATGTAGAAATTTACTAAACTTTAAATACAGAGAGTTATCCACTATCCTTTTAAGCTAGTTCAAGAAATACTAATGCTGAGATGTCTCATCAGCTAAAGGTACCTGCCACCAAGCCTGACTACTTGAATTTGTCCTTAGATCCTACATGGTGGAAGTAGAGAACAGACTCTCACAAGTTGTCCTCTGACCTCCACACATCACACACACACACACACACACACACACACACACAGAGAGAGAGAGAGAGAGAGAGAGAGAGAGAGAGAGAGAGAGCTAATTAATGTTAAAAAGTAAATGTAGTTTAAACAATTTTAAAGAAACACAGTTTTAAAATGTTGATATTCCTGCTCTTTTACACCCTCTTTCACATATCTTTCTAAGTGATGTGTACAAATACTTATAACTCAAAGAATTTTTTAAAAAATGATAGATGTATGAATATGAATAAATAAAGATAAGCACAAAGTGATATGAGCATATTGACAAGTAACTCAAGAAGGAACCAAATACATATAATCAGATTCTGTACATTTGCTCAAAGTGAGCTGAACAGTGTGTTCTGTATTTCTCTTGAGCTACAACAAAGAAAGGAGTGATAGTTTCAAAGTTCCACTTTATGAGTTTAACACCAGGTAATATAGCTAGTCTCTAAGGATAACCTAGATTTTTCTAGACTGAAGCCTTAGAATAGTAATTCCTCTAGTTCTCCAAGAGGATTCTGTGTATGGTGAAAACAGTGGTGTAGCAGGAATAATAAAAACCCCAAGACAGATATTGGGGTTCAAGCTGAAGATCAGAAAAGCAAAGCAGCCAAGCCACTAGAAAGTTCTAACCTCTACCAAGGCTCAGACCAAAGCAGGGGGATCCTATCCTCAGATTCACTGCAGACTGCAATGTTCTCCACCAAAAAGCTCAGACTGCTCTGAGCTTCTTTATATTCCTCTCTAGTGCTAGGATTAAAGGCATGAGCTCTGTTTCTCTTTTAGATTGATTCACTCTCATGTAGCCCAAGGTGGTCTTGAACTCACCCATCTGCCTCTGTCTCCCTAGTGCTGGGATTAAAGGTGTGGTCACCACTGCTTGTCCTCTATGGCTAACAAGTGACTTAGGTGTGTGACTAACTAGTGGCTCAGCTCTGCATTCTGATCTTCAGGCAAGCTTTATTTGTTAGATTACAAACAATATATCACTACACTGTGGTCCACCAGAACAATAATAGCAAGTCATTATGACATCATCTGACAGATGTTTTCATTAATTCAAGTCATAAAGCCAAAGTGTAACATATTTCACATATTTCTGGCAGTCCAGTTTTAGGGATGGATCTTACAGTGCATAAAGAATGTGTAAACTGTTGTCATCCAGGATATATTACCTTGCCACTGAAAAGATTCAACAGAAGTTTTACTCTGTGGTGAGCACATGTTTATCAGTATATTTTATTTATGAGTTATTAAATTGGTTGCTATGGTTACTTACATGACTTACTATGTTGTATTTGTAAGCTCACTATCTAGTGCAAGAGATGTACAAATATAAAATAACTACCACAAAAGATAGCATACATTATAAAATTATTAAAGCAGCAGATTGCTGAAAGTGTGTGGAGGAAGGAGATGTTTCTAAAGGTAGAAAGGCACAAGAAAGACTTCACAGAGGGTCAGGGTGCCAGATAATTACATGAAGCAGAGTAACGCTGTGATTGGGTTAACGTTTGGAGGGCCAGTTGTGAATAAATGGAGAAAGGCACATTTTAGTAGAGAATGAACAAACTTAGAGGATACTTCACTTATTAGAGCTATGCTCGAGAGGGCCACATTTTGAAGAATTAATGATGGGAAAGAATTGACAAAGTTACTCATTTTTATTAGTTTTTTTTTCTTCAAAGTTAAGCTTTTTCCTGTCTACCCAAAATTGTTTCCCTTTACGTTTTGATGTCTCCTGGAATAGAAATATAAAATAACATTAAAGGTAAGAAAACAAAAATTATATTAGAAGCTTGGACAAGTTCACTTGAGATTTTTATTGCTAGCCCATCATTTCCACTTGCATTGATAATAGAGATCACAAACTTCATCTATCTAAAATCTTAAAACTGATCTCACACAAACCTGCCTTCTGTACTTTTCCTTCCTTGCTTAGTAAGTGGAAAATCTTTTAGTAGTTTGAGCACAAACCTAGGTATCATGCCTGACTTCTGTCTTTCACATCCATATTTAATGATTATATGTTTTGACCTATTTTTAAAATATTTGCAAAAGTCAAATGTTATGGATCAGTGGTAGGGTATTTGCTTCACAAGTATAAAGCCCTGGGTTAGATACCCAGTATCACACACAAGCACACATACACATACATATACACAGCAGGCTTATCGTCTGTAAATTATATCTTAATTTTAAAGTAAGAATAAAATCATTAAATGGCTTTCTCAGCTGAATATGTTCTAAATCCACCCTTTGTTTCCTCTAATTTCTCTTACTCAACCTGCTCCAGTCACATTGCTGTTGTGCTGTTCTTCAGCATACAAGCCCCAGAGCCTTCATGTTCACGGTGACTCCTGCCTCTAATACTTTGTGACCTAAATTCTCATGTGGCTTCCACTCTTGCTAGGCCTTTTCTTGCTGTGACTTACAGTGTTGGAAATTGTGGCCTTCCTCCATACCTTCAGCATTCCCCACTCTCTATGTGCAATTAATGTATTATGTAATTAATGGGTACACATCTTCCTATATATATTTTGTTGCCTTAGTGCTTGTCTCCACCCTCCTGAAAAGATTAAGCTCCATTTGAGCAGAAATTTTTGTCCTTTTTTTTTCTTTGTTCTTTTCCTGTCATCTAAAACAGTGCCTAACACAGGAAAATACTCAGCAGGAATTCATGGAATTAATGTTAGCTTTAGACTGTTTAACATTGTATTTGCTACCTACTTACTAATAAAAGCCTAGAATATAAGTGTATACATATTTTATACATATTTGTATGCAAATGTATTGAGCCAGTCTTTGAGTATGATTATAAAAGTTTTGGTAAAAGAATATATTTTGTTTCCTTTTTAAAAAATATATTTGGTTTTTCTAGACAGGGTTTCTCTGTAATAGCTCTGGCAGTCCTGGAACTTGCACTGTAGACCAGGCTGACCTCAAACTCACAGAAAAATGCCTGACTCTGCCTCCCAAGTGCTGGGATCAAAGGCATGCACCACTACCGATGAAATTGTATAGAAGCAGTCTTGAAGTATCTGTTTTCAGTACCTAATTTCACTTCATAAAATGTCTCCATTTCTCATTGTGCAGATATGAATGCTTTAAGTAAGAAGATATTTTTAACTGTTCTTAAGAACAGTTCATGTTTCTTATACCAGCTTTATTTTACCACAAACCTAAAATAATGCAAATAAAAAACCCTGTATTTATTGAGCAAACCAAATGAAGTTTAGCAGTGCTGTTTACAATGACTGTTTGAGTTTAGGTGTCCTTTATGTCATTGTTTTAAAACAATGTTTGCTTACATAAATCCTTTGCATTTAGTATATTTGAGACTGGGCTACTGCTGTATTTTTGTTCTCTTTGCCAATGAAACTGTTGGTTATTCAGAAGCAAGGCAGTTGTAGACTTACCTATTATTTCTTCATTGATTTCCATGTTGGTCTACTAGTGTGGGATAGCTGAGGTTTGCTTTCGTTCTATAGAAAAACCATGGAGACTGCTTACATTGAGTAGCAGATACTGTCTGCACAATGAATGAATAGACTAATGGGCTACTGTTGTTTATTCTCCTCTAGTATAATCACTGAGTTCAGACAATAATGTAGCATCTGTAACTGCACAGCGAAATGTCAAAATAGAAACCAAGCAGGCAGGTGGATTAAAGAAAACCAGGAAACACTGAATTAAGTTCTGATGTGAAGTATGTAAAGGGAATAATTGTAACGACATTGGTAGCAACTCACCTCAGTTGTTCACAATGTTATGTTCAACATGAGGTACTTGTCACCAACTAAGTGCTGACCAGGTATTAGTACTAAGTATTTTTTAAATACAACTATGTTTTACACAAGGGCCTTATAAAGAAGATGTTGTAACTTTGGGAACCAAACTCAGGCTGTGTTGTGTGCTTGGTAGGCAAGTGCTCTACCACTAAGCTATACCCTTGGCCCTGACCTTTTCTTTTTATACATGTGGCCAGAAAGGCTGTTACTTACCTAATAGCCAATATTTACTTCTCTCCCTGTCATAACAGGAAGCCTATATTCCTAATGATTTTAAAGCTTTTTTGCTGTATTTATTTTGTTAGTGGCACGTGTGGAAGTCAGAGGATAACTTATAGTGCTCTTCTTCCACCATGGAGGTTCCAGGCATTGAACTCAGACCACCAAGCTTGGGCAGCAAGTGCCTCTACCTACAGAGCCTTCTCATTTGATCAGATTAATGGTTTTTAAAACTGGATCTTGGAAGTCAGGATAGTGATAGACTTTGAAGACAGGGAGCCCCTAGGAAAAGGACATGATTGTGAGATACTTGGTTAGGTGCAAATTTTATTGCTATGTGAATGTCCTGAAAATTTACCAAGTTACATACAATATCTAGGCACTTTTACTCATGTATGTTACTTTAATAAAAAATGTAAGTAGTTCCACATACATTGCTAAACAAAAGTGTAAAGCTTAATTAACACCAGTTCACATATTATAAGCAATTTAAAATACATGCTTTTCTAAAGACATGCATAAAAGTAATAGATATTATCTAGGGTGAGGAAAAGGTCTTAGAAATAGCAATAGCTACACAAGATTGGGAATGTACTTAATGCCACTGAAGTAGACCTCTAGAAACAATTTACATGGGGACAGGTGAAATGGTTCAGCAGGTAAAAGCATGTGCTACCAAGCTTGATGACCTGAACTCAGTCCTCCAGAACCCATATGCTGGAGGGAGAGAACCAATTCCTGCAGGTTGTCGTCTGGCATCCACACACATATGAAGGCCCTCAGGCACTTACACATATATTCATAACATACAAAATAAGTAAATCTGTTTTTTAAAAGTTGGAATGTTTTAATTAATTAACATAAGCACTTATGTATCATGATTAGTTTTCAGTTTTTTTATTATTTTTTCCTACTTTTTTCCTCACCCATTCTCCATAATTCCATCTCTGCCCCATTTTAACGCTCAATTTTTACTCTACTTAGGCCATCAGACTTTCCTTAGAACAAGCCCTGCCTCCAGAGCCAAAGGAAGAAAATGCTGAGCCTGTTAGCAAGTTGCGGATCCGAACCCCCAGTGGCGAGTTCCTGGAGCGGCGTTTCCTGGCCAGCAGTAAGCTCCAGATTGTCTTTGATTTCGTGGCTTCCAAAGGATTTCCATGGGATGAATTCAAGTTACTGAGCACCTTTCCTAGGAGAGATGTAAGTTTCTTTCCTATCTCATGGGGCCCAGAAAAGAAGGGCCATGAAAAGTCAAATGTATGGGCTACCGTAAAACACCCAGAGTCCTTTTGGTTCTGTACACTTCCCTCCTCAGCCTTTGGAGGTTGTGTTTCCCAGGCCAGCAGATGTGTCCAGAGGCCTATATAAAAATTAGATGCTAGATCTTTCTTCTGTTGCTTTCTAGGTGTATACCTATCCTAACAGGCTTCCCTAAGGTCTCATCTTCATGGATCTAGGTACACCTATGGATTGTGCTTAATAGTTTAATTATTAGAATAGGGTCAACACAAGTACAGGTTCACTAAGAATGCATTATGTTAAGCAAAGATTATCTGTGATTTGGTAGTCTTACTAGCCTTGTGGATGATGATGTTTAGCCATAGTATGTCTGTATTTTAGCAAGATATTTAATAATATTATGCTATTCTTGGGCAAAGTAGAAATGTATAGTTAGTTACACTCCCTAGTGATTAGGTGGTTATGTACAGAAGATGCTGTCTGTCATCTCCATGGAGGGAACTGACAGGCTATATATTTAATCCTTTTATATACCATGTTTATTAGCAATGTAAGTGAGTATTAGATTTCTGCATTATGAAAAATAATATCAAAACAACCTGAAAATACTGAAACTGTGGACAAAGTAAAGTTAACGAATTTTATGGAAATATACATCGGTGCATACCTTTAGCAGTTGTGATTAAGGTAAATATCCACTAGCAATGTATTATGAATGCCAACAGAAAAGACAGCTGCAGTTTTAGAAGTGTAAGCCCAACTGGAGGCTAACTAAATGGTCTCTTCAACTCTGCACTAAAATAAACTAAACCAGAGTGTTCTTAAGCTTCATGCTCTAACAGGAAGTCCTAGGAAGAAAGAGCCTGTCTGGGGCCCAGGATTAATAGGATAGAAGGTACTGGAGATGTGTCTTTTGAGAATGTGTTCTCTGGGGAAGGAAAGATCTTGGGAGACAGAGACCGTCTTCAACTTCTTGAAGGCTTGCTGTGAAAAAAGGGTCCTGACTTTTTTGTAAGACTCCATGCAGACTGCAGACCAGTGAGTTAGAAGAGGAAGCATTCTGCACCTTGACCAGTTGCGTGTCTCTGTATTAATCGCCATCTACTACAAAAGGAAGATTCTCTGATGAAGGCACAAATCTGTGGGCTATACAACCAAGAGTATAGGGTAGCACAAATTGGACTTGATGGCTTTGTGTGTGTGTGTGTGTGTGTGTGTGTGTGTGTTGGGGGTGGAGGGACCACACAAACTTGGAGAGCTAGCAAAAGAGGAAAGGATCTGGGAGTAGTTGGAGGAGGGGCAGACATGATCAAAATACATCATGTGAAATTCTCAAAGAATTAATTGAAAAGCTTTTATTATTATTACTACTTGTTTTTGTTTGGTTGGTTTGGTTTGGTTTTTTGAGACAGGGTTTCTCCCTGGCTATCCTGGAGCTTGCTTTGTAGAACAGGCTGACCTTAAACTCAGAGATCTCCCTGTCTCTACCTCTTGAGTGCTGGGATTAAAGGTGTGCACTACCATTGCCTGGCTTTAAAAGCTTTTTTAAAAAGAAAGTTAAAGGAGGTAGATTTGGCCTCATGTAAGAAAGCATTTTCCAGGAAGGAATATCTCATGACTGAAGTATTGATTTGCCTGTCCTTAAAAATAGCAAGAACTGCTGAGTGGTTGTGCATGCATTTAATCCCAGCACTTGGGATGCAGAGACAGGCGGATCTCTGTGAGTTTGAGGCCAGCCTGGTCTACAGAATGAGTTCCAGGACAGCCAGGGCATAGAGAAACCCTGTCTTGAGGGAGGAGGGAGGGAGGGAGAGAGGGAGGGAGGGAGAGAGGGAAGGCTAGCTCAACTCTGATACATAGTAAATCTTAAATTTTTTTTATTCTATTGAGACTTTATCTAACATACCAGAATCAAGAGTTCGGTGAGAGCTTATCCAAGTCCCTCACATTGATAGTTTTGCAAAATTAAGTCAGAAATCAATGATGTATTTTTAGCCCACTACGAAGCCATAAATCTCTCTGGATAAGATGAAGATTCTGCCTCTTACATCTAAGCTCGGGACTCTAAGTGGTGACCATTAGTCCATCCTTCTCTCACTGCCTCAACTATTGCTCCAACTCTTCTTCATTTATGAGTGGCAAAAAACATGCCTGCATGTGTTTATACCATACAGCCATTTGTTGTTGAAGAAGCCATTATCAAACGCTTCAAGATCATGCTAGCAATCATACTTTAAATTCTGTGGTGAAGTCCTCAATTTTTAGAAATTATAAAACTTAGAATAGAAATTAGTTTTTCCCAACCCTTTAAGTCACACTCATGGGTCTCATCAGTAAGTTGTGAAGACTAGAAGACCAATAGAGGGACCTTCCTAGACTTTAAAATATACTTCTATTTTCTTTGAAATTGATTTTGCTTGTTTTTAAGACAAGATCTCACTATGTAACTCTCCTGGAACTCATCCTATGTAGGAAGCTGGCCTTGAACTCACAAAGATCTACTTGCTTCTGCCTCTCAAGTGCTGGGATTAAAGGTGTGCACCACTACACCCAGCTGAAATTAATTTTTAAAGTTAATTTTGACAGAATTTGAGATTTATTTATTTTTATTAGTTTATGAGTATGGGTGTTTTGCCTGCATGTATGTCTGTACCTCATGCAGTATAGTACCTGCTGAAGCCAGAAAAGGCATTGAATCATCGAGCCACCATATGGCTGCTGGGAATTGAACCCTGATCCTTTGGAAGAGTGGCCAGTGCCCTTAACCACTGAACCATCTCTCCAGCCTCTGAAAAGATTTTTTTTTTAAGGTGCTAGATTTTCTCTTTATCAGTAATCACTTCTTTCCACAAGATCAAAGTGTAGACTGAGATATTACTGTTGAAAAGAAGCGGGGGGGGGGGGGGGGGGGCGCGGCGCGCTGGGCCTGCTACTTACATGCCTTGAGCTTCCTGGCCAAGGTTTTGAGTACTGAAAGTATACGCCTTAAATGGAGAGCTTTCCACTTAGTCTTACAGAAGATGTACTCCTTACCTAGCTATATCACAACCTTTGTTTTCTATTTTATGGAAGGCTATTCAGTCATTCTTTTTTCTCAGTATCTCTTTTAAACCTAATGCTGCCTCACTTCCTCCCCATTACAAGACTAATTTTTACCAAGTTTGGACCAGTTTCTCAGAGAAAATATTGACCTGGAGATTGTCAACCTGAAATTAACTACCACTGAGTGATTTTTCCAAAGCCCTGCTGACCATTTCCTTTCTTGCTTAAGATTCTCTAGTAGTCTCTGCTACCCTAGTATAGTGTGGGTCGCTTTGAGGAAGATGGAAACTTTTAACAGTCTAGTCCCTTACTGTTTTTCCAACCTTATTTCCTTCAGTGGGAGATAGGAGGTTGCTCACTGTTCACTAAAGGCACAGACACTCCTGTGCCATTCTGCTTCATATACTTCTCCATTAGTGTCCACCCTCCTCAATGTTTCTGTCCTGTTTTAATGCTGAGCTTGGCTCCCAAGCTATGTACCTTTGCAGTTTATGCATCCTGTCTTCAGCAGCACTTGCCCAGTGCATGTCACATCCTCCCTCATCCCTCTCTGCTACAGTTCGTACCACAGTGCCTCATATGTGAACTTTCGGTAACTGTTGTCAGATGCTGATATCCTCAGACTCTACTAAATCTCTTGTTCCTTAGTGATCAAGAAAGGCTATTCCAATTCAGAACAAATGCCCTAGGCCCACCCAGATTCCAGTCCTAAACCCAGAAAGCCCAGGACTGCAGGCCTCCTACAGTCCTAGATGAGCTGAGAGTTAATGGCACTTCATTCCTCTCTGAATGCTCTTTCAAGTGACTCGTGTTTTTACAAAGCTGTTCTGTAATAGCCATCTGTGTCTGCAAGGATTAGGATCTAATTTGTAAAAGTCATCTTAAATTACAGCCAGACTAAAGACTGTTAAAAAGCACATCTTAAGTCCTTGCCTTTAATAACAAATAATATGAGACTTAACTATAGGAGTCTTATTGTGTCTTGAGCCTTCTTTCCACAAAGCAAAGGCTGGTTTCTCACCAGAAGATCTATTAAATGTTCTTCTGTGCCCCCTCTCCCTTCCCACACACACACACACACACACAATGAAAACACTACTTCATATTAAGATTTCCCAGCTGTCCAACTATTTGCTGAATGTCTACTGGCTATTATACTTCACTGAACTGAGCACTGTGGGATAACCAGAGTAGCAGCAGGCACCAGACCTTCCCCAGAAAAGCTGATTGACAAAATGGTTTAAGAGTGGGTTTTGTTTGTGTTTTGTTAGTGAAAGTTACCAGAAAAAAGAATGGTATTTCCTTCCAGAGCTTGAGTCAGTATGCTCTTGCACACATTAGTGCCACAGACTTCACTGTCCTGTTTGCCTTATCTGGGCATTGTCCCGTGAATGAGTCTTAAAAGATGAGTAACGACACTGGCTCTAGTTACCTTCTGGATCTATAACGGCCCGAACACAGGTCTATGGTAGAAAACTGTCACTCATACTACGTGGTATAAGGTTATCAGTAACACTCACCCTTCCTTTTCTGTGTCACTTCCTTATGTTCTTCCTGTGTCTTCCTTTTTCTTTCTTCCTTTCCCGCTCACTTTCAGTTCCTAGTTTACATTTGGCATCTCCTTCCCTTTCTTTCTATCTGGACTACAAAGCAGATGCCAGGACAGCCAGGGCTACATGGAGAAACCCTGTTTTGAAAGAATCTCAAACAAACAAAAAATTACATCTCTCTCTCTCTCTCTCTCTCTCTCTCTCTCTCTCTCTCTCTCCCTGTTGTCATTGTCGTCATTGTTTTTTGACAGGATTTCTCCGTGTAACAATTCTGGCTGTACTGGACCTACTGTGTAGACCAGGGTGGCCTTGAACTCACAGACATCCCACCTGCCCCTGCCTCCTGGGTGCTGGGATTAAAGGCATGTG